GACAAAGTTCAGAAGTTTGAAGGAACTGTGGGCGACCGCTTCAATGAAAACACCACGCACGCACGTGCTTTATCCTTGTGGAGTAGATTATAATTCCGGCCTGCATTCTTTCCATTCCACACAGCCACAGAAAAAGTCCACCTTGTGCCTATTGACTGGTTACCTGCTTGTATTGCGGACAGAAAATCCTACTGGTGACACAATTCGAGGTAAAGTAAAGGAAATTTTTCGGCAATAGCAGATAGTATGAGCGTACTTAGCGAGAGAGGTACGGGCTGAAGGAAGACAAACCTTCCAAGTGCCCCGCTCCTCACTTCGAAGCATGGAAACTAGTTAGCGGCGGAAAGATTACTGGGAGAATCAAAATGGCGGACACTAGAGAATTTGTTACAAGTTTATAGAATTTCCTTGTGACTCGTTAGTTTCTGGACAGTTGCAAGGTAACAATGAATGCCATTAAACCTGTTATTCTGCCACCAGACCAAAAAAAACTCATCTAAATATTTTTTGGTGAAAGACGTGAAACACTACGGGGTAGAAACAAGTGAATGCTTGGAAGGTCCTGCTGATCCGATCAAGAGTGGAAAAAGATCTTCGAAAAAGATTAGATTCCCTATAACTCGAACGTCGAAATTTTCTGCAGCCAGAAAAGTAGTTGGAGAGACTGGATAGGAAGTAATTTTACGAAGGACCTTAGCATTTGGTTCTCAGGATGGTATTGGGGTGTTTTGTCTAACTGAGTCAGGAGAACAACAAATTGGTTGGGTCACTGAAAAGGATCCGTGCAATTTTGGATGCTGTTGGAAAGGCATGCGACTTGCCAAACTTTCATGCCAAAATTGACAGTGCAAGTGCCAAAAATATGGGAGACAAGTTTACCAAGATAACAATTTTTATAATTTGTGGAGCTTTGTGAAATAACTAATACACGTAAATAATCATGTTATTTTTAATTAATTATGTGGAAAATTTATGGATAGTTTCATGAAAATCGTGTCTCTTTTCTTAAATTAAAAATTTATGTCACTCTGTGTATATTAATGATAGGTTTGCTTGATGTTGGGCATATAACCCATGATGTTTTCCTGGCTATTTATTAACTAGCTTTGACTGTATAATTTAACAATAACTGTCGTGATAATTCTTTCTGAACATTTTTAGCTAAATTGGTTTCCTGGCTATTTATTCACTAGCTTTGACTGTATAATTTAACAATAACTGTTGTGGTTATTCTGTCTAAGCATTTTTAGCTAAATTGATTTGAAATCTGGATATTTAGACTATGGCAACTAATGAGCATACCAAAGTAACCGAAATGACTGATGTGTTTATTGCAAGGGATTTTGTAGACATTTTTAAAGTTTATGGAGAGACTGTTGCTAACTTTGGTTTTATCGCTTCAGTCAAATAAAATCGCTTTAAGTCGCCTAAAGTCGCCTAAAGTCGCCTTAAATCGCCTAAAGTCGCAATATTTTTTGTGCCAATTTTGCTAAAGTCGCCTTAAGTCGCCTTAAATCGCCCAAAGTCGCCTAAAGTTACGGCGACTTAAGGTCCTGGAGTAGGCCTAGACTGGATACTAGTTTTGCTTGGTACCAGAGCTTTCTTATAGAACATTAAAGATCATCAAAAACCCAATGTTTACTTAAACACTCTCAAAGCTTAAGAGCAGCTTTTCTTCGAACATAAGGTGGATGTCTCATGTTGAAAGTAGAATTTGTTTCTTGAAATCGGTTTGAGGCTGGAGGAAATAAGAGTGATCGGCTAAACTAATCACTCGCAACAAAGCTGGAGTTTCCCTCACTCTTAATTACACGTTAGCTATCTCGGCTCGAAACTCCATTCATTTCTCCGGTACCGTGGTATACACTGAGTTCGAAATCATGGCCTATCTCTTCAGGAGGAAACTTTTACAGGGAACCCTTCCCTAGCAGGTTTCTATCAACAGGGTTGTTTTAGCAACGTATTAAGCAATAAACAAGGGATTCTAATATTCGGCATAGCTTCTTTAAAGAAAAATGAATGGAATAAATGAAATTAAACATTTCAGCATACGATGCAAAACTTTATCGAAACAAAGTTTGGTTCGAAACAGGTGCTCCATGAAGGTGCGTGGAAATGCGACTGATACACATTCTTCACAACAAGTACTGACTTGAAGCTTTTCTTATTACATTTTTGTAATAAGTGACCAATATGAGATTAACAGAATAGAAATTTATTTTATTTTCAACCGGAGAGCACGGAGAAGCGTAAGAGCTGCTCGGGGAGCAGCCGATAGAGGATTGCGTCATATCTCGCAAGAATCGCCTCGCGCGAGGGGCAGGGGCGCTAATTTCAAACTGCTCGCCTCGTGTTTGTCAATAGAGTGGTTTAGCAAGAGGACGGGAACGTCATTTCAGAACGGCGCGCGCAGCACCACCTTCTTAGAGTTGAAATGCATTTTGAACGGAATTATCAGAAGTTATGGCGAAACCCTGTAGAAACCAAGCGACCCAATGATGTAGTTGTCTACGATGAGTTCCTATTTATCCGTGAAAGAATGAAATTAACTCAAACTAGTCACCAACGAAACGGTTAGACTTTGGAATAAGACTTCGTTCCTGTTTTTTTCTTCCGTTTTTGTTTATTTTAATTTTTTTTAACGAATGAAGTCGTTCAAGACTGAATCAAATTAATCGATTTAGAAAGCCGTGCCGAAATCAAGTTGATTGTCATTTTATTTCGAAGCGAGAGCATGACTTTCTTGTCTTAGTTTCATCGGCGCTGATCAAAAATTTCAAACATAAAAAAGTGCATACCTGAGCTATTCTCAATTTTATTTCATATCTGACTTCAATTCGCAGAAAAGTTTTCAATCACGGTGAAAACGACAATAACAAAAAATCACATAGAATAATACAGTAGGTAAGCGTCGTGATATTTCATTTTGATAAACTTCAACATGAAGCAAGTTTAATTTATTGATGAATAGATTCATGATAAAATTAAAAGCGTCCCATTCTTAGAGTTTTCATACAGGATCAAAGAAATGTATCAAAGAACAGCCCTTTTGCTGTTTTAAGCCTTGCTCAATAACAAGTGTGCTGAGCCCTAAAATCTTGGATCCAGCGTTTGCCAACGATTATGTTTCCTTTCGGAAATTTAGCATAAATGAAGCGGTAAATTTTCCCAAAATACACCGAATAAACCAAAGGAAGGGACCAGGTTATCCTGGAAATGAGTTCTGAAATAATTCCAAACAGCATTATCTCGTTTATAAGCGCAAAATTTACGCAAATCCCAGGCGTTTTGATCGCGACGGGAAAACCAGCGTAATGACGTCCTGAACTTGTTGGGGAGAACGGCAACGCTAACACCAGAAGACGAAATAGAGTCGTGTCCAGACTATCCGCGCGCTTTCCCGTTCTGAAATGACGTTCCCGTCCTCTTGCTAAATCACTCTAATGTTTCAGAGGAAGTGATCAACGCTTAGGAAGAAGACTCAATTGCGAAGAGCAACAGCTACTGAATTTGATGGAACACTTTTCCGAGGAGAGATATCAAGTTTCAGTTGCTGATTGAATGAAATAAACCTACTAATTAAAACTCCTCGCACATCTTTACACGAGTAATCACCGCAATTTGAACAAAATATGCGCAATGCTTTCTTTATTTAAAGAATTTACAGTAGAATTCGAAAGCACCTGAACAATTATATTAAGACAATCATTTTCCTCAGGCTCTGTGAATACTGTTGAAAAATCCCCTCAACCTCGTCTCGGGGATTATTCAACAATATTCACTCCGCTTTCGGCCAAGAACTGCTTGATATAATGGCACAGGAAAAAAGGTATTAACATTTGAAGCTCAATTTATCTGTTTTTGGTTTGATATCTCGAAATTTTTGATAAGTTTATTATGTCTGACGGAATTATCATATCAAGCAACTAAATTGTATTATGAGACCATAACAAAATCGAAATTGTAGCACATTACACAAGTAGGTCTCTTCGTAATCACATCAGGATAATTTAGCTTGCACATTGGTTTTACTTGTAACGGCAAGGATATAAATCATTTCACCTCAATCACAGCTCTCCTGTTTGCCAGAATAAAATTTCCGTAGTAAAGGTCTTTTGCTCACTTTATTTACGGTAACTTAAACATAGAAAACTTGAAATATCGTTGTGGCAATAAGGAAATTATTACCTTTCATGTACTGAACATGCAAGAAATAAGAGGCAAATCATTTCGCGTACAGATTAAGTACAAATGATGAATGCATGGCTATAATGTGGTCTAAAGGTTCCTCTTGAAAGTTAGTTTTAATATCTTTGCTTGCAACTAAAAGACAAAAGTCTTTAAAAATTGTTTTGGAATGTGGAAATCTAACTAAACAGAGAATATATTTTTGTGTTTCCCATAACACCAATAACCAGATAACGGCACAAACGATTTCCCGTCTCCATCTCCGGGTTGGTATGACGTGAGTCAAATAAGCTCGTCGCTAAGTTCAACGGAAACAGGTGATGTAGTAAAGGACACACCGGGTCTTAAATTGAGGAGAAGTGTTACATCAAGCAGCAAGTCTTTTCAGTGCTTCTGGGAAAATTATCAGGTAATTTTCCAGCCCAGTCTCATTCTGGGCTTATGAGTTAACCTTACATCTACAGCTATTTATCTGCTAATGTGCGACTCCTCCATCTCTACCAGCGAAGTTACATGTGCGCCATTTTATATTTTTGAATGATATTAGAAATTCAGATACCATCTCGTACCCGTGGTTGACAGCAGATCATCATAATTTTAACTTTCAATTAAGATTTTGTGTTCTACAAAAGAATCTTTGTATCCCAAATTTTCTAAAGATCGGCAGAAATTACTCCGTGAAGATTGATCCAGGGTAAAACTACTGTTATATACTGACACAAGTCCAAATCCAAGAGGGCAACCTCACAATTCGAGAAATCGTCATCTCATCGATACAATAGATTATTGATATTATGTGAAAGATTTCTTTCTCATTGTACCAAGATGTATCCCATGGCTTTAATATGTTTATGACCATTATCTGTGTAGTGCATGGCTTCGTTACCACATGTGTTAGAGTAGTCGTGCATCCCTCCTGTGCCAAATCCAATCCTTGAGTCACACGAGTAACAATCGTTCTCGTTGTTGGTAACGATACCAATTCTTGCTTTAGAATGTTCCTTCTGTTTACAAATGACATTGAACCCTTCCCTGTTGCAGTTGCGCTGTAAAGAGGCTTGCGAACCAATCAGCTTCTTCCACGTGCCACGACCTAGTGAGGTGGAATGATAATGCTCATCAGCGATGAGTGAGTACAGAGAGTGAGCCTGCTTGTTGATGACAATGAACTGAAGCTTTTGTTCGATTTTCATACCGAGACAGAGCTTGGAGAAGGACGTGTTCCAGTAGGTGGGCAGCTTTGTTTCCTGTTTATCAAATCCAGTCTTTCCCCCGGGAAGGTTATATTCTTCATAATTACTCCAGTAACCCGCATTATAGTGAAAGGTTGTCTAAAAAGAATTAATCATTCCTTCATTTCTCTCCTAAGAATCGTTCGATCAAAAATACTCAATTAACGTAATTTTTCGCTCAAAGAAAAGTTATAGCTTGTAGATCTGATGTATCCTAATGATTACTCTAATAATCCTATGGATTGTTATACGTATGATCTTCATAGCCATCATCATGCTGGTATTGTTAGATTTATGGTCAGGCAAATAAAACCATTTAAAGCCAGCCTGTCTTAATCTTCAAGTCTGCGGTAATTTTTTTAAACTTATCATAATATAGGAAAAATGAAAGCTGTTGGTCTTTTTTTTTTGTCTTTGATAGATATGTTGGTTTTTTGTAGTCTTTATTGATTATCATTTTATGGCAAGGTAGTCTTGCCATATAATGTTCCCCATATGATTGTTCGCAAAAGACGGAAGATTCAAAATAAAAAAGTTTGTCCGAGAGCCATGTAACAAACTACTCGCCAATATTCCTTCGTAGGGCCCTTGCGCTCGTTTAGTTAGAAGGTAATATTCTCGCCATCAAGCTCAACACTTTTATAACGCTCTAAGATTTATGGCAGCTCTATAAATCGGCTCTAATTATTATATACACAAAAGAAACTGAAACGTGACGAAGTTGCACCTTTGTGCCGTCAATCTTCATAACTGGCGTCCATCCTCCATCTCCACATCCAAAATCTCCCATGTGACAGAGAACGGGGACTAGTTGGGAGTCCAAACGGAGGGTGACAAGCTGACTGACATTAGACCTATTGACATTAACAACGGACGCATCAAATGATTTAATCTTTACATTATATTAAGTTAATGCTATCCAAAAATATAAAAGTTAACGGGATTGTTTTGTTACTACTGCAAAGATATTTTGGGTGTTAATAAATTATTAGCCCTTTTCCTTCTCGCCCCAATACTCTGGATCCTGACCTATTATGCGCACTGTCTGTCCCTCTAGAACGCCTCCGTAAGGGACCTGGGACGGAAAGTGACTTCGTAAATGATTGCACATGCGCAGTATGAAAGATAATTTGATATTGTAAACAAGTAGAATCAAAGTAAGACGTAGTTTTTGCAGTTTCTAAGGAGAGTTCGAAGTTTCTAAGGCTGAGACTTGTACACATTGTTGTTCTGGACTTAACCCACTGTGTGTTAGTTTACACTCTCGTACTTTTTTTTTTTCACTTTGCACGGCGGGTTGATGAAGTCTTCCGTAAACTTGGCCGTGCTGGCTGTACTTATTCTCTGTTGTGTTCATGGTGGAGTTCCCGGCAAACACCTAGGAAAATATGTGAAAAAAGGAAGAACCAGAGCCACACAAGATATTTGTGACGATCACAGGTCTATGTTTAAAGCAGAAAGCAGACTGTGCAGCAAGGGTAGAAGAAAGCTTCTGTCATTTTCGTTTATCACCGAAACGAAGCGTCCGCGTTAAAACAGTTGGGATATCTTACAGTACGCCATACGCGTTCGGAAATCCCTGTTAACATTTTCAAACTCTCGTGCATGCGCAATGGTTGACCGCTGTGTTTGCTGCTCTGATTCTTTCAGTATGGCCTATAACTTACCCTTTGAAGTCATAGAGCGCCTTGCAAGACGTAATAGCTAAGAGATAGAAAGGAAATATTTATTTTATCTATATTTCAGTTTTCCTTACTTAGAATATCTAAAGCCTAATTTCCTCGCAGTTGAATGCGTTTTGTGTATTTGTTGTGTTCATATTCCTGTGTAGGAAATGTACCAGCTTTTTTAGCCTTAATAAAATTGTGACATGCATTGACGGCTCGGCCAAGATTTTAACGGAGAGTCACTTTTTTCATTCGAGTCTTCTTACTTTATTTTTTGCTGATTTCTTACCATTTGGTGAACTCAAAGAAGTACTGTAAGACTTAAATACAAATAACTACATAGTGCTGGTATCCATTTATACAGTCTCGACACAGGGCACGTGAAAAAATAGGAGAACCACATGATGAAGAAATGAAAAGTTTTTCCAGAAAAAAGTCTTAGCAACAGATTATTATTATGAATAGGCCGAAGAATAATTACACATTACCTTTCTCACAAAATTCTCCAATAAAACCTGGTTCACAGAGACATTGGTAAGAGTTGTATTCGTAATTTGGCACGCAGATTCTTCCCTTTTGACACGGCCAGGACGAACAAGGAGACTAAAATAAGAAAAGAAATATGTTGTTATCTTAAACCGGGGAATGTTTGAACAGAAGTTTGAAAAATGAAGCCGAACAGCACTGCAAGAACGACACTCAATCAAAAACGTGCTCTACTTTTAACGTTCAAATTCGAACACTGTGAAAAAGTTATTACCAGAATAGAGAAATGATGCGAACTCGTGTTTCCTTTGTAGTTCTTAATGTCTCTGTATTTATCAGAAGACAGCAATTCACACCAAAGCTTCCCCTCTGCTCCTTTGAAGGCCGCCATGTTTATTGAGAGGCACAAAGCATCTTTTAAACATTCAACTATGCAATCTAACAGGTCGGACACAGTCAATTTTCCAACTCGAGTTACGTTCAGATGATGGAGCTCGTCTTTTGAAAAGAGACGCTGTTTCAGTGTCTCTTTAGAAGGGAAACTACCTCCTTCCAAGGCGTTTATGTCTGAAGTAAAAAAAGTGAGGATATACGTTTTTAGTCATTAATCATGAGTAGCTCTTTGCTAGTTCAATTTCGCTGAACTATGACATCTTGCTTAAATTGTACCTTAACATAAAAGCTATAGATTGCAGCCTTTGTTCGTCAATAAGCAGGATTCCCTTAAATCCTCATTTAGAATGGAACTTCAAACCTTTTGATACCGCGCACCGAACTCCATCAATAAGCTACCGTTTATTTGAGGCACGCATCCTGCAAACTGCGAGAATCAGCATGACCTAAAGCTTCATGTTATAATAGAACACTGAAGATAAATGATGAATTTTAAATACTGTAATAAAGTGGAGAAAGAAGTTTCCTTGGCCTGTCTCTATTTGCCCACACGACTCTTTGGACATTGTTGGTCCTCATGCTCAGTATGCAAGGTGAAGCAATTTAAGATTTTTGAAGTATGTGCAGGATAGTGTCACCTGTGTATCCAAGTGGAACTTCTCGTGGAAGGCAATTTTAGAGAACTTAAGCGATAAGCTAGTACACGTTGATGTTCCTGCTTCAAACGAATTTAAAGTTCTAGGTCTAGGAAAAGTTGTCATAAACAAATTGAGTGCGTGAATCCGATGAAATATTTTGAATTTGTCTACTTCTAGAAGTTTTGAAAACTCGACGTAGAAATATCTCTAACTAGGATGCAAAATTAATAATTTGATGAAGTAAAAACAAAACTGATAAAAACAAAGAATAGACGGGAATAATGCCAACGGAATAATGTACCTGTTAAAAATTTTAATAAAACCCGAAGTCTAAATTTTTCAAGCTGTTCTGAAGTGACCATTCGGCATATGCTGTTTCAGTAGTTAGTCCTCACTCATCAAACACCGATGAAAAGATAGGGTTAAGAATACGAGAAATCTGGTGATAGTCATATTTTCCAACGAGTTACTTAAGACCCAAACGCGTCTGACATTCATCACAACGTTGCTAATTAGATGTGGCTTAGGCTTCAAAAACAGTATGAAGGCATATAAGGTAGAAACAAAGATTATAATCTTTGAAAGAAATAAACTGTTTTTTAAATAAGTAGCACGCGATCATCAAATATTTCGCAATTTGGCCCTTGATTTGCTAAGAGTAACCGGATCAATATCAGTATCTGGGCAACTGCCCACCTGCCCCTCTCCTTACCCAACATTAACCTTAACTTGTTGTCAATTGACTGTTGTTGAGTTAGGGGAGGTGTAGCTGGGCAGTTGCCTGGGTGATACAAAACAATGCACTGAAATAATTGCTTGCAATAAGCTGCCCGAGCATTAAATAATTGATAGCATTTTGTATACGTTTAATTCTGAGAGAATTCTGATGACTTCAATTATCAATCAATCCGAAAAGCGATTATTTATGATCGAATTGGAAGCAGCAAATATTTGGTAAAGCTATATTTTATCAGCTATTATAAAGCCTAAATCTTCCTTCGATTGCTCTCATCAGTACATAAATGGTTTCTTATTTATTACCTATGTTTTACTTATTTCCCTCGGTCGGAAATTTGATCAACATCAATGACTTTCGGAAGTGAAAAACATTTTCCATACTTCTTGAAAGTATCAGATTTTTGTCTGGAATTGTCCTACAACTCCGACAGTTATGTTGATTTTCCAGTTCACGTCGTTCTCCCGACTATCATTTTTACATTTTTTTTAATCCTCTCATAGCCCAGGTACGAAAAAACAAATCGCCTCCGGGTGAACTACCTCCACAATAAAATTTCATAACGAAACAGATGCTATAAGCCAAAAGTGATATTTCACTCGATTCATGATGTATTTGGCTTATATTTTACAGTGTTTATGGATTTAATTTAAATACACCCGCCTGCTTTTTGCGAGTTAGAATGTTACTCTCCGTCGCTCAACTGAATAGTTCCAGTGCCAAATGCTAAATTTCTGAATAAATTTTAGTCCAAAGTAAACGGTCTTTAGGGGTTAATGTGAAGAGCATGTTCAGAAAGTGCCTCGTTTGTTATTACGCGCGCTTAAATCTTGAAAAAAAGTGATACGAAATTAATCTTTTTTTGAAAAAAAAAACCCAGTAATTTCACCTCTGTCGGTCTTAAAACGAGAACGAGAATGAGACACGTTAAAATTTACTGGAGCAGTTAGTTTCCAAGTAGTGGCCGATGTAAATGCTTGGATTGAGGCAACTCTCCTCCAAACATACCCTTTTATGAAGCTTTCATTTGAACCTAGAGTATTAAAGGTAAATCTTACCTTCAACAAAACTTCAACCGACTGTAGGCGATACAAATTTCTCTCTACTAAACGGAATAATAGGGTTGAAAAATAAGAATTATTTGCAAACGTAAAAAAATGTCATTCTAAATGTTTTTCCTGAACAGTTGTTACGCCTATTTAGATTGCGACGTATGTTATCTTTTAGTAGCGAGACGGAGAAACCTTGAATAGCAGAAGCAAATAACGAAAATACTTACCTGAGGAACATTGGGCTGCAGTGAAGATCGATGACAAGGAAAGATAAATGAGATGGCGCTTGAAATCAGAATACATGACGGAACGTTAACGCGCCCAGTAAAGTTTAGCTTTTCATAGTGTGTAAGATTATTTGCAAGTAGCTTGGTTTTCAAAAATTGGCATCAAAGTGATATTCTTAAACAAATCGTTGATCTTGCTAGGGTTCGATAACGAAACGATGGCTGACTATTTCAAGCAAAGAACTGCTTCATTATGCGACTTATCTAAGGAATTCTGCAATTGAATGGCACAATTAACCTCTTGTGTCAATCTGCTTGAGACAACGGGGGCGGGGGGAGGTTAACAATTGTGTAAAAAGAGAAAGAACTAGACGTGACAAATGGCTCAGTGTGCGCATCTTAAGAAAGTTACTCTTAGCGTTTGAAAGTTCTACTTTGAATAATTTATCCCATATCATTTTTGATATTTTACAGTAAGCACAGACGCATGGCGCAAATAGTTGACAGGAGGTTTAACTGCAATCTACTGTACGGGTTCATGCGACTCAAATTAATCCAACTAGAAGGATACACGAAGTCAATTGTGCGAATATTAGGATAAAGGCTCCTTTATAAAACGTGACTTCCATTCAGCACCTGTTTTGATCACAGCGTAGGTAACAAAAACAACTTTCTTCACTCTGTGAAATGTTATTCTCAATTCCCTTCTCGTTCTGATTCTTGTTTTTTCTCTTCTTTTCAAAGACACAACCTTTCATTGTATTTTTAATGAACATTTTATACTAAGTGGTAAACCCTTTTAAGTATTCGTATTAGACGAGATAGGCAAACAGCTAACCGGTGAAAAAAATAAGAAACGAAAACCCGATTAAAAAATTATCCTCGATGTCTAGACTAAATTTTTTCAAAACGTACTAACTTTTGCTCTTTGGTATTTATCGCTCACTCAATCGTTGATTTTCTACCGAATGACAAGGACTTTAATCTACTAGACCTTAAATTTATCTTCGATCTTTTAGATAGGGGTTCTTTATGAAAACTTAAAGATATTTTTACCGCTTTTCATGTAAAGCTAGTTTGTTTTCTGTTTGTTATGTTATCAATTATTCACGAGTGACAACCATTCAACCTTTGACTACTTTAATCAGATATTTTTACAACGAGTCGGAAATAACGAGTGATAAAAAGTTTTCAAACAGTTTCACTTGTGGGAATTTGTAGTTTGATCTGTTTACTGATAAGACAAACATCTCTTTCAAGCTACGGAGAATAGGACCAAGCGTATGAAATTTTACTGCCCCGCAAATAAATCTAAAAAAAAAAACTATTGGATACATGTTGGTGCGATAAGAACAGACTTATGCAATGATCAAAAATAATTAATCAATTTTAGAATCACTAAGATTTAAGCTGATTCCTCAGAGACAAAAGTTATCGAAAAATTTTACGGACTTTCCTTAAATTCTCTCTACCAATCTCTGTTTCGAAAAACACAATAAAAGAGACAGGTCACCAAGCTTGTTTTGGAGATATAATGGGCCAAACTAAACTCATTTCTGTCTGTATTGGCACTGATCATGATTACGCGCGTCATTTTATTGGCTCACGGTACATTTTGCTGCCGCTGGAAGCAAGGATTTTTTAAGTAAACATTGAATAAAACTTGAGAGGTAGAAAGTCTCGAGTGTATAAAGCAATTAGATGTATAATTTGTGAGAAAATCACGCGAATTTAAACGACATAGACTTAAAGCCTTCTTCTTTCGCTTCGGATAACTTATTTTTTTTAATTTCCCCAGTTTAAGCGGATGAACTGTACACCAAACTTAAGCGAACAGAATACAGCCGCCGTGCTAGCTCAAGAGCTTAGGACCATCTTACCTCTTTATCTGGTTCATGGATTGAAAAAAAATAGCGTGTTCTCTAAATGCTAGTGCGCGCTCATTCCCTTGATAACGTGATTTTCATGCGTAGTACAAGATGTACAGCGCAAAACTGAGGCACTACCTCAAGGCTACTGTCAACAAATTAGGGTACCTTCCGGAAAATCGTCCTACTTGCGCAGCCTTAGAAGAAACCACGGATTAAACTATAAACTGGAAAGCTTTGAGAATAAAAATTCTGTAAATGTCAAAATTTTTCACAGTTTTTTTTTATTGAAGCGCGCGCGAACGTGCAATAGACTAAAGACGTTTGCTTTGCTTAATTACCAACCTCCACGTTACCGCCGACCTCCAAACAAACTGGACAGTATCACTCAAAAGTATCCAATTTTAACTAGGCGTTAGTCATAAAAAAATGTTACACAGAAAAGTTCTTCTTTTAATCACAGTGAAGAGAGTTGACCGTTAGCCGTAAAATGGCTAAAATTTTAATCTTTAGCCTTAAAAGCCATTATCTCATCTTTCGTTTGCATTACTTATCGATACAAACAAATCACTGATACCGTTATTAGACCTTAACTCATACATATGGTCTGGATGCAACGCCTCTCGTCTTTACCAGGTGTATTGCAACTGAACGTCCGTTATACAAGTATTTTTGTTTTTGTTTTATTGGTTTATTAATTTGCTTTTGACCTTTTATTTCCAGGTCTGAACTCCAGTTACGTCACTGGAGTGGAATCTAGACCTCTCTAGGTTGAAAACGTTAATAATTTGATACATTAAACATTCTGTATAGAATAATGTGTTCAAAATGGCTGAAAATGGGCGAGAAATTTGGAGATGGCGAATTGCTTTTAGTTTTTTTTACATTAAGCTGTTTCTTCTCCCACCTACCAAACTTTTAAAAGATATGTCTATAAATATTTCTTTTCCAGGGAATTGATCTGTGATTTCACTTAAAGTGATCGCAACGTCTTCAATTTGAATCGTTTGTCTCTTAACATGAGGCAATTTCTTCCGTTAATTCTGCTTCGCCCCCCAGCTTTTTTCTTTTTCTGCTTCGAGTTAGTAAAGCAAACACATCACTCAGATTCCCGGCGTCGGCTAATGTTTAGCTTTTCCTTGTGATTCGGAGGGCACTCTCTCATCCTATGGTTTTTATTCGGCAAGTTGGAAACTTTTCTTACTTAAACATATTGGAAAGTATTAAAAGACAAACAGAAAATGCTTTTCTAAAACTTCTTCTTCTTCTGGCGTCGTCCTCATCGTTTCCTGTTTTTCTACCTTTCGGATATTAGACCTATGCTGACAGAGGACTATCTCTTATTGAAATAGTGCGCCAGTGAGACTGGATACTAGTTTCGCTTGGTACCAGAGCTTTCTTATAGGATATTAAAGATTATAAAAAATCCAGCGTTTACTTAAATACTCTCAAAGCTTAAGAGCAGCTTTTCTTCGAACATAAAGTGGATGTCTCATGTTGAAAGTAGAATTTGTTTGTTGAAATCGGTTTAAGGCCGAAGGAAATAAGAGTGATCGGCTAAAAAAATCACTCGCAACAAAGCTGGAGTTTCCCTCGCTCTTAATTTCACGTTAGCTATCTCGGCTCGAAACTCCATTTATTACTCTGATAGGTACCGTGGTATACACTGAGTTCGAAATCATGGCCTATTTCTACAGGAGGGAACTTTTACAGGGAACCCTTCCCTAGCAGGAAGTGCCTAATTTGTTTCTATCAACAGGGCTGTTTTAGCAACGTATTAAGCAATAAACAAGGAATTCTATTATTCGGCATGGCTTCTTCAAAGAAAAATAAATGGAATAAATGAAATTAAACATTTCAGCACACGATGCAAAACTTTATCGAAGCAAAGTTTGGTTCGAAACAGGTGCTCCATGAAGGTGCGTGGAAATGCGACAGATACATATTCTTCACAACAAGTACTGACTTGAAGCTTTTCTTATTACATTTTTGTAATAAGTGACCAATATGAGATTAACAGAACACATTTTCAACCAGAGAGCACGGAGAAGCGTAAGAGCTGCACGAGGCGCAGCCGATAGAGGATTGCGTCATATCTCGCTAGAATCGCCTCGCGCGAGGGGCAGGGGCGCCAATTTCAAACTGGTTGCCTCGTGTTTGTCAATGTTTCAGAGGACGTGATAAACGCGTAGGAAGAAAACTTAATTGCGAAGAGCAACAGCTACTGAGTTTGTTGGAACACTTTTCCAAGGAAAGATGTCAAGTTTCAGTTGCTGACTGAATGAAATAAACCTACTAATTAAAACTCGTCGCACATCTTTACACGAGTAATCACCGCAGTTAGAACAAAATATGCGCAATGCTTGATATCACCACAATCATTTTCCTCAGGATCAGTGAATGCTGTTGAAAAATCCCCTCGACCTCATCTCGGGGATTATTCAACAATATTCACTCCGCTTTCGGCCAAGAACTGCTAGATATAATGGCACAGGAAAAAGTATTAACATTTAAAGCTCAATTTATCTGTTTTTGGTTTAATATCTCGAAATTTTTGATAAGTTTATTATGTCTGACGGAATTATCATATCAAGTAACTAAATTGTATTATGAGACCATAACAAAATCGAAATTGTAGCACATTACACAAGTAGATTTCTTCGTAATCACATCAGGATAATTTAGCTTGCACATTGGTTTCACTTGTAACAGCAAAGATATAAATCATTTCACCTCAATCACAGCTCTCCTGTTTGCCAGAATAAATTTCCGTAGTAACGGTCTTTTGCGCACTTTATTTACGGTAACTTAAACATAGAAAACTTGAAATATCGTTGTGGCAATAAGGGAATTATTACCTTTCATGTACTGAACATGCAAGAAATAAGAGGCACTGAAATCATTTCGCGTACAGATTAAGAACAAATGATGGATGCACGACTGTAGTGTGGTCCTCTTGAAAGTTAGTTTTAATATCTTTGCTTGCAACTAAAGACAAGTTTTTTAAAATTGTTTTGGAATGTGGAAATCTAACTAAACAGGAATATGTTTTTGTGTTTCCCAGTAACACCAATAACCAGATAACGGCACAAACGATTTCCCGTCTCCATCTGGTTGGTATAATGTGAGTCAAATAAGCTCGTCGCTAAGTTCAACGGAAACAGGAGATGTAGCAAAGGACACAACGGGTCTTAAATTGAGGAGAGGTGTTACATTCAAGCGGCAAGTCTTTTCAGCGCCTCTGGGAAAATTATCAGGTAATTTTCCAGCCCAGTCTCATTCTGGGCTTATGAGTTAACCTTACATCGACCGCTATTTATCTGCTGATGTGTGACTCCTCTACCTCTACCTGCTAAGTTACATGTACGCCAAGTTATATTTTTGAATGATATTAGAAATTCAGGTACGGTCTCGCACCCGTGGTTGACAACAGATCATCATAATTTAAATTTTCAATTGAGATTTCTGTGACAATAAAAGATGTGCGTTATACAAAAGAATCTCAAATTTTCTCAAGATGGGCAGAAATTGCTCAATGAAGATTGATCCAGGGTAAAACTACAGTTAAATACTGACACAAGTCCAAATCCTAGAGGGCAACCTCACAATTCGAGAAATCGTCATCTCATCGATACAATAGATTATTGGTATTATGTGAAAGATTTCTTTCTCATTGTACCAAGATGTATCCCATTGCTTTAATATGTTTATCTCCATTATCTGTGGAGTACATGGCTTCGTTACCACACGTGTTAGAGTTGTCGTGCTTCCCTCTTGTGCCAAATCCAATCCTTGAGTCACACGAGTGACAATCGTTCTCATTGTTGCTAACGATACCAATTCTTGCTCTAGAATTTTCCTCCTGATTACAAGCGACATTGAACCCTTCCTTGTTGCAGTTGTGCTGTAAAGAGGCCTGCGAACCAATCAGCTTCTTCCACGTGCCACGACCTAGTGAGGTGGAACGGTAATGCTCATCAGCGATCAGTGAGTACAGAGAGTGAGCCTGCTTGTTGATGACAATGAACTGAATATGTTGTCCGATTTTCATACCGAGACAGATCTTGGAAAAGGACGTGTTCCAGTAGGTGGGCAGCTTCGTTTCCTGTTTATCAAATCCAGTCTTTCCCCCGGGAAGGTTGTATTCTTCATAATCACTCCAAAAACTCGCATCATAATGAAAGGTTGTCTAAAAAGAATTAATTATTCCTTCATTTCTCTCCTAATAATCCTTAGATCAGAAATACTCAATTAACGTAATTTCTTGTTCAAAGCAAAGTTATTAATTGCAGATCTGATGAATCCTAATAATCACTCTGATAATCCTATCTATTGTTGTGCATACGATCTTCGCAACCATCATCATGCTGGTATTGCTAGATTATGGTCAGACAAATAAAACCATTTAAAACCAGCCTGTCTTAACTTTCAAGCCTGCGGTAATTTTTTAACTTATTAAAATATACTAAAAATGGAAGCTGCTAGTCCGTTTTTGTCTTTGATAGATACATTAGTTTTTTTGAAGTCTTTATAAATTATCTTTATGTGGCAAGGTAATCTTGAAGCAAATCAGAGCGTTCTGATCGGTTCATCAGTTCGTCGGGAGTTTGTCATACGGACCGCTGTTCGCAAAAGACGGCAGATTCAAAATAAAAAAAAGTTTGTCCGAGTGCCATATCACAAACTTCTAAATAACCTTGCACGATCTCGGGCCAATATTCCCCTGTAGGGCCCTTGCGCTCGGTCTGTCAGAAGTTAATATCTTGGTCGTCAAGCTGAATACTTATATAACACCGTAAGATTTATGGCAATGCCTTAAATCGGCTCTAACAATTATATGCAGAAAAGAAACTGAAATGTGACCAAATTGCACCTTTGCGCCGTCAATCTTCATAACTGGCGTCCATTCTCCATTTCCACATCCAAAATTCCCCAAGTGACAGAGAACAGAGACTGGTTTGGAGTCCAAACGAAGAGTGACCAGTTGACCGACGTCAGACCTATTGACATTAACAATAACGCATCAAATGATTTAATCGCTACAATGTATTAAGTTAATGTAGTCCAAAGTATGAAAAAGAGTTAACGGGATTGTTTTGTTACTACTGCAAAGATATTTTGTGTGTTGATAAATTGTCAGCCTTAATTTCTTCTCGCCCCAATACTCCGGATCCTGACCTATCATGCGCATTGTCTATTCCTCTAAAACTCCTCCAGAGGGACCTGGGACAGAAAGTGACTTCATGTCTCGCGTTAATCACTAGATTTCACTCAAAAAGACCACTCGCGTTTGGCAATCATGGTACAGCCTCGCAACTCGCTTAGTTATATTACACTGCTACAAGGGAAGGAGAGCATGGATTTTATGAAAAAGGATACCGTGTTTATCTCACATTTCTTACAAAAATGGTTTATATTCGTTGTTGCATGTGCCTTCCAAGCTGAGCATACGCAAGAGTGAGGAGCACATGCTGGATTATGTCATGATCACTAACACAAAGCTTTGTTCACAGGAGGGAAGGGGGAAGTGCTTTAGTAGAAATTATGAGGTCATTTTTATGGAGAAACAATAGCAGTTTTTTAAAATGTTTTGCCTGGTGATAGTGTTTTGGCTGAAGTCACAAAAACATGTAAGGAAAGAAACTAACCTGTAGAAATCATGCAGATCCTTGCACGAATGTATGGCTTAAGGAAAAAAGGGAGAATTATTTATTGTTCCTAATCAAGCCGCTTTAAATCTTTCTGTCTTTGTTTTTTCTCAATTTAGTAAGCTTAGAAGATTGTGGCCTGGCGTATAGCCTTTGAATACAGAGACCACACACTTGAAACGTACTTCTTACACGTGGTGGCTGGCTTTCTCATCGATCGTCATGTCACACTTCAGTAATTAAAATGTCACACCTAGTCTCACCTGTCTCACTTTTTATTAAAAAAAAGCTGTCTATAGCACTCACTAATAAACCTGATTGTTGCAATTTGTGGCGACACTTGTGGAACTTTCTCATAAAATCGGAATGGATGGTCCGGGGGCATGTACACCAAATAATAACTAAGACAATTACAATGACAAGCAATAGTTAATTTTTAGCCACAGCTGACACTAAATATACTTACTGAGAGAAAGAAAGACATACAATTACCTTTCTCACAATATTCTCCCACGAATCCTTGTTCACATCGACATTTGTAAGAATTGTATTCGGAAGTCGGTGTGCAGGTTCCTCCGTTTTGGCATGGCGAAGAAGAACAAGGAAGCTGAAATTAGTAAACAAATCTTGAATGCTTGGACCGTTGGATGCTTTGAACAGTCACTGTAATGAATGATGCTTATCTCTTGAAAATCATCGAATGCAACTGCATTAGAAAGAGTTCTACTATACCTGAATAGACAAATGATGCGAACTCATATTTTCGTTGTAGCTCTCAGCGTCTCTGTATTTATCTGAAGATAGCAACTCGCACCAAAGCTTTCCATTTGCTCCTTTGGAGGCGGCCACATTGATCGAAAGGCACAAAGCATTTCTTAAGCATTTAAATGTGCAATCAAACAGGTTGTGCAAAGTAAATACTCCAATTCGAGCTACGTTCAGATAGTGGAACTCTTCTTGAAAAAACTGGCACTGTCTAGATGTGTGCTCGAAGGGAAGCCATCCTTGTTTTGAACTTTTTAGCCCTGGTGTGAAAACAACAAAATTACTTTTTCGTAGTTTGGACTCCGCTAGGGCAACATAACTTTCGATTTCACTTTAGCGGAGCAAGGCTTCTTGTACCCTATCAAAATTAAAATAATATACATTTCTCTGTCCCATGAAGGAAATAATTTCTATCTTGAAAACTAATATTATGTGAAATTTTAAAACTAACGCGTTTGACCTCGTGCAGATCATATAATTGTGTGAAATACCCATTAAGATTGTGAGGCTGGTGTAGTCATCGAGGATTCTTCTCGACGTTCTCGACGTGCTAATGTGTGGATACAGCAACTAGAGATATATGTTATCTCACCCGAAAAACAGTTGTTTGTGAGTAATATCAGGAAGATCAAACAGAGATTAGTGAACATGATCGAATATTTACGCGAGGAACTATAGTAGTCATCCGTTAACAGTGAGACTTCCAGGCATATGAGATTTGAGTCAGTATTCGGTTCTTATTTTCACAGCATTTGCGTCCACCCATTCGTCGAGCTATTTGTTCGAGATGAACCTGTTGTGACCGGCTTGTTGTGAATGTAAAGGATGCCTTCTAAAACGACTGTGAATATATGAATATCATTACCGCGAAGATGTCTTTCACCAAGGCTTTGAATAACTGTACGAAAGAGGCAAATAATTTGTTTTGCAAACTCACTACCACATGTGTAATTTTAATCAGTGAGAAAAACTTGCGGTCACATAAACTGCGTTCTGAGATAGAAAAATTTTGAGGTTTTAATTTGTTATCAGATGAAAGTGAGAGAAAACCTTGTAAAAAGATCATTTGGTTACAATGCAAATGCCTATTGAGCGACTGTGAGGCGAAACGTGACATGGTGATGGAAAATAATGCAATTAGGCTTGTGTACGCATAGATAGATTTGGATCGCAGCGTCTAAGTTATATTATTTTTAATTTTTTTGATGTTGTCATCATCGTGTTTTATTTAATTTTGTTAGATTTATGGTAACGAAAATGAAGGTGCTTGGTTTTGTTGTTTCATTGTTTTAATGAAATAAATCAATGCAGTCCCAATGTAAAATACCAATCTAATGTAAAGATATTTTCTGTGTTGCTAATGTGCTAGCTTTCTCCTCCTTAACTCCTATACATACCTCCGTTAAAATTTGCATCTAGACTTTCTCTCCAGCAGACGGCCGCGGCCAAAAGGAAATTAGGACGAGAGGGTGACTTCATATCTCACGGTAAATGCGTAAATCCGGAAAGAAACTAACCTGTATACGTAATTATAAGGGCCTATTTACACGGCACGACTTTGTCGCATGCGACAAGCTTACGACAGGCCTACGACATGACTTAATAGTCGTAAGCGAGTTGTAGGTTTGATTTACACGAAACAATTCGTGTCGTAAGCTTCGAGAGGGCCTTAAATTTTTGCAAAGGCTTCGAGAGAAAAGGAAATTTTATTGGTTTATAAAATAAGTTATACATTAATTTCCTTCTTACACTGAATAAAGCAAGAGCAAAGCTGAAATATCAATTAACTTTCACACAATATTCTCCCACGATACCTTGTTCACAGAGACAGCCGTAAGAATTATATTTGTTACTTGGAATGCCATTCCTCCGTTTTGACACGGTGATGAGGAACAAAGAGGTGAAAAACATTTAAATCTGCAATCAACAGGTCGTACGTAGGGAATATTCCAATTAGAGCGACGTTCAGAAAATGGAACTCTCCTTTTGAAAACTGGCGTTGTTAAAATGACGGTCTCAGTGGACGCCATCTTTGTTCGAAACCTTTAATTCCTGGTGTGAAAAATAATTATGCCTTAAATTTCGTGAGTTTAAATTAAGTGGAAAGAAAAAAAAAAGTAATAGGCCCGCATGATACTTGGCCTGCAATGTGTTAATGGTAGCTACACAACTTCATGCCTTATTTAGGCCAGAATCTTCTCAGTGTCAAGCACTCTTTATTTACCTCGCCAGGCAAAAATACGACGACTGTCGGGGAACTGTTGTCACCTGTACTCTTCTTCTCAAAATGAAATGAAGCAATCAAGCAAACAACGCTCGCTTAAGATCGCTCTTAATCAGTTTGGTGGAATTAGGAAATTCCATTCCACAGAAACTCTGAATATTGACACCATAGACCGACATTGGAAGGGCTGACAAAAAGAAATTTACCGTTCCGATACTGCTGGTATACCCTAAAAATACGGCTGTTGCTTTACAACTACTACTGGTCAACGAAAATATATTTACAGAACTTATATGGCAATTTAAAAGTGAAATGGTTTTAAACACTTAAAAAACCAAGCAAATTTTTGTCAACAGTATTTCTTTTGTAATATATTTAAATGTTACCGTTAGTTGGTAATGTAAATAGTGACTAAAGAGCCCTATACGACTTTATTAACAGTATCTCTCCGTACTGTTAATAAAGAACTTATATGGAAATTTAAAAATGAAAAGGTTTTAGACACTTAAAGAATAAAAAGTTTTTACGACGTTATTAACAGTATCTCTCTATACTACTGAGTGTATAGATGTATGTAGAGTATCGGTGTTACTGCACCAGGATGTACCCCATGCCTGGAGTGCGCCTGTTTCCATTATCTCCTCCTACATATGCCACGTTACCACACACCACGCCGTCTTCAAAATGCCCCCCTGTACCGAACCCGATCCTGGAGTCACAGCTCCTACAGTCTTTCTCCTGGTTAGCAATGATACCAATTCTTGCTTCAGAGTGGTAAACTTTAAAACGGTTAACATCAGCAGTATTGAATCCTTCCTTGTTACAATTTAACTGTAAGGAGGCATCTGAACCAATCAGACTCTTCCACGTTTCTCGGCCGAGGGAGATGGCGCGGTATTGACCGTCAGCGATCAGTGAGTACAGAGAGTCGGCCTTTCTGTCAATTACAGTGAACCTGAGCTGTTGTCCGATCTTCATACCGAGACAGATCTTGGAGAAGGATGTATTCCAGTAGGTCGGTAACTTTGTCTCCCGTGAATCAAACCCAGACTCCCCGCCAGGAATGTTGTATTCAATTTTATTGCTCCAGTACGGGTTGTTATAATGAAAGGTGTTCTGTTAAAACAATAGAAGTTCAAAAGTCGGTAGGCCATTCAGTTTCGTCAAAAGAATTTTTAACGGTTGTCGGATTGAAATCCATTTTCCAATTTAACTTAATTGCCTGAATCACGCTGCACGTTTTTGTCGATAAACGGTCTTCCCTGTTGGCAAAATCAACATTAATTTTACCTTAATGCCGTCAATCTTCATCACCGGCGTCCATCCTCCATTTCCGCATCCAAAATCTCCCATGTGACAAAGAACGGAGACTGGTTTGGAGTCCAGGCGTAGGGTAACCAGTTCACTGACATCAGACCTATTTCCAATAAATCAATCAGAGGAGGCTAACTATTTATGGGTTGTCTTGTTGATCATCAATTGATTGGTACGACTGCTTTTTAAATTATGAGATATTTGCTGGATTGTATAGGCGTATAACGTCTCACTCCTTCCCTCATGCCATCGATAGAAATAAATCCAATCTTACTTTCCAGGAAAAATTGAGGAGAGGCAGTCAAGGAAGATAAGTCAAAAGTAGGCAGATTAATTTATTTCTCATGGTTAATACGTTTTTAAGCGGATCATTCTACATTAACACAGCGGTAAAATGATTGAACCTGCGCACCATGGTGGATAATTTGAAATGTGAACATGGAGGATCAAAGTGAGGCGTAGTGTTTCGCAGTGTCTAAGGAAAGTTCGAAGTTCCTAAAGCCGAGACTTATACATATCGTTGTTCTGAACGTAACCCACTGTGTGTTAGTTTACACACTCGTACTTTTTATTTTACACTTTGCACGGCGACGTGATAAAGTTGTCCGTAAATTTGGCCGCGCTGGCTGTAGTTATTCTTTGTTGTGTTTATGGTGGAGTTGCCGGTAAACACTGAGGGAAATGTATGAAAAAAAGGAAGAACCAGAGCCACACAAGATATTTGTGACGATCACAAGTCAATGTTCATAGCGGGCAGGGGACCGTGCAGCTAGAGTAGAAGAAAGGTTCTCTCATTTTCCTTTATCACCGAAATGAAGCGTCCGCGTTAAAACAGTTGAGATATCTCACAATAAAATAAAGCCTAGTTTTAATCTTTCTCCTAAATCCTCTTTTCAGTTGTCTTACGCATTGGAATAGTGAGGAATTTAGTCTTCTGTTCCTTACTTTACATTAGACACGCGTTCGGAAATCCCTGGTAATGTTTTCAAACTCTCGTGCATGCGCAGTGGTTGACCGCAGTGTTTGCTACATTAATTCTTTCAGTATGGCCTATAACTTACCTTTTGAAGTCATAGAGCGCCTTGCAAGACGTAATAGCTAAGAGATAGAAAGGAAATATTTCTTTTATCTATGATACAGTTATCCCTACTTAGGATATCTAAAGCCTAATTTCCTCGCAGTTGAATGCGTTTTGTATATTTGTTATGTTCATATTTCTGTGTAGGAAATGTACCAGCTTTTCAATCCTTAATGAATTGTGACATGCATTCGCGGCTCGACCAAGAAGGAAAAGATTCGTACGGAGAGTCACTTTTTTCAGTCAAGTCTTCTTATTCTACTTTTTGCTGATTCCTCACCACTTGGTGAACTCAAAAAAATACTGTAAGACTTATATATTTATAGCTACATAAAGCTGGTATTCATTTATACAGTCTCGAAACAGTACACAAGTAAAAATAGGAGAACCATATGATGATAAAAAGAAGAGTTTTTCCTGCACAAAGGCTTAGCGACAGGTTATGGGGAATAATGGTCGAACAATAATGGCATATTACCTTTCTCACAAAATTCTCCCATGAAACCTGCTTCACACAGACATTGGTAAGAGTTGTATTTGTAATTCGGGACGCAGATTCCTCCGTTTTGACATGGCCAGGAAGAACAAGGAGACTAAAATAAGAAAAGAAACATGTTGTTATTATAAATTGGAGAATGTTTGAACAGAAGTTTGATAAACGAA